CCAGGAAATGCTGCAATTGAGTGGGTTAAATCCATCAGAAAAGTTGATGGGAGAAGTTGGCTGAGTGGCTCTTTACCCATCTGCTCTAAGAAGCCTCCATGTCCCAGAAATCCTCTCTAAGGGTTGAGAGAGCCTGGTAAACAAAATACACTCCAGGGTGGGATGCTGCAGCAACAAGGCCAATCAAGTAAACTTGCCGCCTCCTCCTCCCTCTTCTGCTGGCAGCTTGTTTCAGCAGAGGAAGAAGCTATTTTATCTGATTCCCCTCCTCATCACTATAGCAGTTTGTATTGTGGTGTATTTTGTTAGTGACCCACTTGACCACTTCCTTCTACTAGCTTTTCTGGGTTGCATCCACAGTCATTTCCAACTAGATTGGCATGTCCATACAGGATCCGATTGTTGTAGTGCAATAAAGCAATATCCAATGATGCATGGATAAAGCCCTGCTAGACCCAATCGGTTGTTTAAAAAGAATCCTGGATGCTCCGCTAAAGGGACAGTTTTCCATTGTTGCTAAAATCATCATCATTTTTCTCATACTTGAGAAATATTGATGGACGCATTAAACTGATGCATCTTTTGGCACTCTGAAAGGTTCTAGGATTTTTAACTTATAAAAAGTGTTATTCACTCAGAAATGTTCTCAAATCCTTTGTGATATTGTTGTTTCTTGCATCTCTATTTCTGCTCAATGAACACATCATTTTTTCCTTCTCTCTTATGTAATCCTACCCCTTCACACAGGAGCCTTCCTCCAACAGAAGGCTTCTCAAACTTTGGTTATCTTCTGTCCCACACTTCTGGCACTAACCCCCTCCCCTTTTTTTCAAAACCATCATTCTGGATATAAGCAACCTTAGCTAAATTTCTGCACACTTTACTATCTACTCAGTCTTATTTTAAAGCACTATCCTTTCCCCTTTCCATTTTATTTGTCTGTACTCTGTTGGAGTGCTCAGTTTTCTTCTGTTTTATGGTGTGCTAGTAGCAAAGCCCGTTGTAAAATCAAAACAAGCTCTAGGAAGATGGGACATGTCAGCATGTACACAGGCCCTCCCCCACCACCATTCCGGTTTCTCCCCCAGTCCCCAGGGTTGAGGGCTGACGGAAGGCCCGCCACCATCTCCCTACCCAGCTGGCTCCGGCAGCCTCCTAGCTGCCTCTACCATCCTCCACCCCGGCAGCTTATGCAGGGGAGTTCAGTGAATCACCGCTTGGGGCTGTGCAGCTCCTGGAGGTCAGCCTCGCCCTCCTTGTTGGCCGCCTTCTTCTCCCTGGCACTGTCGGCCGTCAGCCTACCACCCGGCCAGCCACCTGCAGGCGGACGATGACAACCGCTGCAGCGCCGCTATGATCAGCCTTGGCCTGATGACCCTCTGCTCACTGGAGCGTCCCACCACCCGGCCACCTCTACCGCCCCAGCAGCTCACGCAGCAGAGGTTGGTGAATCGCCGCTCAGGGCTGTGCAGCTCTTGCATGTTGGCCTCACTGTCCTCGTTGGCCACCTTGTCCTTCATGGCACCAGCGTCCATCCACTTGCTGCACACCTGGCTACCTGCAGCTGGCTGCGGCCGCCACCAACCACTGCAGTGCTGCCATGATCAGGCTTGGCCTCAGGACACTCCACCCTCTGGATCATCCAGCCTGTCCGTCGCCTCCCAGCATACTGAGGCCGAGACATTGGCCGCCAGTTCTTTGGGTGGAACTAAGGTAACACAGCCACCAATGGATAGAGACACCTTGTGATTGACACATCAGAGAGCCAACTTATTTGGGAGCATGTGGAATGTTCTGGAGAAGTGCCACCCAAAAACACAATTATATAAAAGGAGAGATTTATGTTGTGTTCTTCCACTTCATTCACTGTACTGTATAAATCTTCTACATTGTGATGTCATTTCTTCCTGTGTTGACAATATCCATTCAAATTTCTCTTTAATCTGCTTTAGAAGCATTAGTGACCCCACAACCACCACCACATTTTTTAATAGCTCAGTATTTACTGGACTACATTTAGATCCTGATAACTGAATTAACATTGAATGTTGTTTCCTCCCACCACTTTCTCTATGCATTTGCTTCATATGCTGCCACATACAGGTGGGTGAGTGTCTAAGAATTTTGTTGTATTCTTCTCTTTATACAGTTCTCTCTTTCCTCTCCTTCCACTGAGTTTATTCCATGAATATTTGAAATTGGTATTTGTTCCTGTACATAACTATAGGTACCTCTGTTATAGCTCTCCTTTCCCCGCACAAAACAAAAAGTTCTCACAGGCTTGAGACAACTAATATCCTCAATCCTGTTTCCTCCTTCAGACTTTATCGTGTTGTTTGGGGTCTCATACCCTTTTTCTTAAGTTGGAAAGTTTTGGTTTTCTGCATACATTGTGAGATCTAGGGTATGAAGACACCCTTACATTGTCTGGTGGGGCCAAGTTTGCTACTTTTGTTGGTGGCATTTTCTTTTACATTAGAAGGTGGAGACTTAGTTGTATTAGTCTGCTGTGGCCAGGGGTCATTTCCTGCAGGAGCGCACAGGAGTGGAGCTCCGGCAGTAAAGAGCCCAGGGGGTGGGCACATGCAACAAGCCCCACCCCCAGCAGCCCTCAGTCAGAGCAAGAAGCAGCCAGGTAAATTGCAGAGCCCCCCCGGCCCAAAAGAGTCCAGTGGCACCTTTAAGACCAAGTTTTATTCAGGTACAAGCTCTCCCTTCTCTGCGAGGACAGATCTGCACGTGTTGTCCCCCCCCCCCAATAGCTAGCAATCCAAAAGAGTTCAGTGGACCCTGAGCGGTGGGCAGTGTTCCCTCTAAGCTGAGTTAGTATGAGCTAGCTCACAGTTTTTTAGCCTCCAGCTCACAGATTTTTGTCTTCGCTCAGGAAGGGATGGCTCCAGAGCAAATTACTTTATGCAGTAGCCAAATCGCTCACTCACAACTTTAATGTCAGTAGCTCACAAAGTAGAATTTTTGCTCACAAGACTCCACAGCTTAGAGGAAACATTGGCGGTGGGTGTTGCCTTCTGACACTCTTCCGGTGATGACAGGGGGTGTGACATATGCAAATAAGTTATACTAATGAGTTATGCTAATGAGCTCCTGCACCTCTTTTTCTACGAAATGACCCTTGGCTGTGGCAAAATAAGAGTCTCGAGCCACCTTACGTTTATTTTATGTATTTACTTACTTCATTTATAATCCACTTTAAACACTCAAACAACACTGTAATCACTTTATTAAAATGCCCTCCTGAATAATTCTTGACTACCAAGTAGGCTATTCCACCTGATGGGAGCCACAATAGAGGATGCGTATGTATGGGCAACTGTTGATTTTTACCCATTTGCCAGGTGACATCTTCAGGAGGCTTTGCTCAAACTAACAAAGGTGTTGCTTTATCTAAAGCTATTTAATAAAACTACAACCTTCTTCTCTTTATAAAATCTCCCTTGAACAGAGATTAACACATTTATTGTGGTATAACGTATTGTGAGCCAGAACCCACTATCAGCACCAGGAAAATAATAGTAATGGTTTTTAACATCATGATTGAAGCTTATACCAGAGCACCTTGCGGGGAGGGTGGGGTATAAATACAAAATAATAATCATGATACAAGTCTTTTTGTAAAGAAGTCAGAGGGAAGGGTTATGACTTAGAATGGCCTAAAATTTATTTTGCAAAGTTAAAGCTCCATGTTCTTTGTGATCATATTTTGCAGTATGTAGTGCAAAAATGAAGCTCTAAGCCAGAAAGAAAGGTATCTGAAAGGGAACAATCTTACAGTCAGATGTGTATGACTTGGAGTGGTCAAAGGTCTATTTTAGAGGTTCAGGGAGCTCACCTAACAGTGTTTGAATAAGAATTTGATAATTGTCTTAAGCAGGTACTGTTTTTAAAGTTAGTTTGGTGTAGTGGTTAGGAGTGCAGACTTTAATCTGGGAGAACCGGGTTTGATTCCCCACTCTTCCACATGCAGTTCCTTGTGTGACCTTGGGTCAGTGACAAGTTCTCTGAGAGTGTCTGTTGTGTGGAGGGGAAGGGAAGAGATTGTAAGCAGCTCTGAGACTCCTTTGGGTAGTGAAGGGTGGGGTATAAATCCAATCTCACCCTCTTCTATTTTAACTCTCTAAGGGTGTTCCCTTCTAATTCTGTCCTTCATCCAGTTAGGAATAACAGATGTTCCAGTAGTCTAATTTTTCACGCTAATGCTATTAATAAAGTAGTATTTTAAATGGCTATGCCATAATGTCAGAACTGAATTTTCAAGGCCATTCTCTACAACTTTGACATTAAGACAGAGGGGTTAAGTCTATCATCTTGAAGGTTTAATTCGTGCAGAACAGCTACAACCTCCAGAAATAATTATGATGGGGGCGGGGGGGGCATGAAAGTGCTCTATTTGACCCTGACCCAGTCACACATTCTCAGCCCGATCAACCTCACAGGGTCGTTGTGACGAGAAAATGGAGGCAGGGAGAAAGATGTAAGCTGCTTTCTGTCCCCGTTGGGGGAAGGGCTTGGTATAAATGAAATGAGTAAAAGGGTCCAGCTCCTCACCTGATGGAGAACCAAATAGGTGGTGGAGTGGATTTACTCGCAAACCAGTCCTAAATAGCTCTATGGATCCGACTTCCCGCAGCCTGGTAACTGCGAAGCCTCCCAAGCCAGATGTAATCGAGGGAGATGCAGCATCTATTATCTGCTCCCGGGTCTGAGGATGTAACTAGCTGCGGACACCCTTTCGGGCTGTTTGGAGCCTGTGAACGAAGCTCCTGATCTACACCCCATCTAAGTTGCTGCCGCCACCCCCCCCCGGGTCTCCGAGGGTGACTGAGCTGCGCTTATTCTGTCCAGCGCGGTTCTCTCCTGTAGCAAGCGGAACTGAAAACGTATTCCTGCAAACCCGGTATGGCGGTTCTGACTGGGAAAGGGAGCCGCCCACAAACGGTCCCCCTCCCACCCCCTGCGTTGCAGGCTCGGAAGCTTTAGGAAGCGCGCCAGAGCAAACCAGAAGGCCTAGCGAGCCTCTTCCGGGTTCCGGCCAGGAAATGGCTGCGAGGCGGCTGGGCCGATCTTTAATCGCTACTAGTAAGTGGTTATTATCGGAAACTGTGGCTGGGAGGATGGAGGGCTGCAGCGCTACGCTGTGCTGCACGGCTGGCCTGGCTTTTTAAAAATAGGCGTTTTGCTGTCCAGCCGGAGGCGAGATTTTATTCAGTTAGGGACCCTAAATTTATCCTGACCTGCTCTAAGAAGCTCGGGACAGTCCAGACGGGACTCCCCCCCCCCCCCTTTACCCTCACAGCAACCCTGCGAGTAGGCTGAGAGATGCGGCTGAGCGGGGAGTTCCAGCAGAGCCTTCCCTGTCGCAAAACAATCCTAGCATGTCATAACTCTCTTACTGCACTGTCCTTTCAGTTAACAAGACGGTGGAGGGACAGGGAGGGAACTCTCGAGGGATAATTCCACTGGGCAATGGATTCAGATGAAACCCTAAATGACTGAATTGACCAGTGGGTTATATTCTTTCTTAAATCGGTGTGGTGGAGTCGTACGGGCGAATGCTTTGTTGTGGTTTTTTTTTTTAAACCTTTTTATGTATTTTATTAGAACATAAAATACAATTTTAAACCTTGTGCATAACTTAACACAGGTAACCAATAACAGGTCCGTTTCGATTGACCTAGATGTGAAAACCATAGTAATATAATAGATCTTGTCTCACTAACCTGTTAGTGTTCTTTGAGGGGGGTGAACAACGGGGACCCAATAGATGTTGGTTAACCTTGACTTCTAGAAAGCTTTTGATAAAGTTACTCATCAAATGCTCCTAAGTAAGCTCAATAGTCATGGGACAAAAGAACAAGTCCTTTTGTGGATCAAAAATTGGCTAATTAATAGGAAAGAGAGAGTGAGTCTAAATGGGCAATTTTCTCAGTGGAGGGTGGTAAGCAGTGGGTTACCGCAGGGCTCAGTACTGGTTCCGATGCTTTTTAACTTGTTCATTAATGATTTGGAGTTGAGAGTAAGCTTGAAGTGGCTAAATTTGCAGATGACATGAAATTGTTCAGGATGGTGAAAACCAGGGAGGATTGTGATGCACTCCAAAGGGATCTGTCAAGGATGGGCGAGTGGGCGTCAGCATGGCAAATGGGGTTCAGTGGGGCGAAGTGCAAAGTGATGCACATTGGGGCCAAAAATCCTAACTATAAATACACATTGATGGGGTCCAAACTGGTGGAGATGGACAAAGAGAGAGGTCTTGGAGTCATAGTAGATAACTCAATGAAAATGTTGAGACAGTGTGTGACTTCAATAAAAAAGGCCAATGCTATGCTGGGGATTATTAGGAAGGGAATTGAAAACAAATCAGCCAGTATCATAATGTCCCTGTATAAATTGATTGTGCAACCTCATTTAGAATACTGTGTGCAGTTCTGGTCACCACACCTCAGAAAAGATATAGCACTGGAAAAAGTGCAGAAAAGGGCAACTAGAATGATAAAAGGGTTGGAACACTTTCCCTATGAAGGAAGGTTACAGCGCTTGGGGCTCTTTAGCTTGGAGAAATGACGACTGAGTGGTGACATGACAGAGGTTTACAAGATTATGCATGGGATAGAGCAGGTAGAGAAAGAAGTACTTTTCTCCCTTTCTCACAATACAAGAATTTGTGGGCACTCAATGAAATTGCTGAGCAGTCTGATTAGAACGGATAAAAGGAAGTACTTCTTCACCCAAAGAGAGATTAACACATGGAATTCACTGCCACAAGAGGTGGTGGCAGCTACAAGCATGGATAGCTTCAAGAGGGAATTGGATAAATATATGAGGCAGAGGTCTATCAGTGGCTATTAGCCACAAGGTATAGATAGGAACTCTCAATCTGGGACAAGTGATGCTCTGTATTCTTGGTGCTTGGGGGGGGCGTATGACAGCCAATGTGATGTAGCAGTCAGGGCTTCAGAGCACGGGAGAGGCTGCAGGTGTGTGTGAGGTGGAAAGCTGAAGAGTGAGGGGGGAATAAAGGTAGGTTGATGATTGGCTGGGAAGGAGATAGGGTTGCCAACTCCAGGTGGGAAATTCCTGGAGATGTGAGGGATGGAGCCTGGAGAGAGTAAGGTTTCAGGACGCGTGGGACCTCAGACAGGTACAAAGCCATAGACTCCACCCTCCAAACCAACCATTCCCTTCTGGGGAGCCATCATTGCCAATCTCCAGTTGAGAGCTGGAGATCACTCAAAATTACACCTGTTCTTTAGGTAGCAGAGATCAGTTCCTCTGGAGAAAATGGTGGACTCAGTGTCATCCCCTCACCATAAAATCAACGCCCAGGCCAAACCCCTGGACCTAGAAACACGAAATTCGGGAAGAGCGCTCCTACCATGGCATAGATGCTCACTAAGAAGGGATTTTTAGAAATTCTACCCCTAAGTGGGTCAAAAGGGGTAAAATGTGCTTCTCCCATTGATTCCTATGTGGCTGCCAGGCAGTTGTCTCCTTGCTCACCCCCCCTCTCTGATTGGTCAGCTGCAGAGCTCAGTGTTCTGAGGTTAAAAAAAAAAACAGTTCCAGGACACTGCAGAGAGCTCATGATAGTTGGGGAAATCAGGAATGGCCAACAACCACCTGTGAGGTTCAGTAATGCTGCTGGCCTAGCTTCTCTGGCCTCCCCCCAACCTCCTAAACCTAACAGGCGGTTGTTTGTTAGGTGCAGCAGCTGTTGCAGGGTGCTTAAAGCCACAAGGGAGCCCACCCCAGCAGTAACGCCTTAGTGATCCATCCAGCCCTGCCTCCACAATGGCTTCTAATACTCCTCTCCCTCCTCCTCCTACACTGGACAGGCAGCTGCCTGTCAGGTGTAGGAGAGGAGGTGGGATGCTTACAGCCGCTGGGGAGGTTTGCTCAGCAGGACTGCCTTAGTCCTGTTGCTGGCCCAGCCTCTCTGATGCCTTTAAATACCCCCCCAACACCAGACAGGCGGGTGTCTGCCAGGTGTAGGAGCAGGGCCAGGGTACTTTAATCCATCAGGGACGCTGCCCCAGCAGGATCACCTTAGCGATGCTGCTGGCCCAGCCTCTCTGATGTCTTCCAACTCCCCCCCCCCCCCACTACACCAAACAGGCAGTTTTCTGTCAGGTGCAGCAGCAGTTGCAGGGTGCTTAAAGCCACCAGGGAGTCCACCCCAGCAGTAACGCCTATGTTCTATGTTGCCTGCTCCAGAGTGAGTTCACCAAGCAGCCTGGTGATCCTAGCACCTGAGGGCAGAACCACCAATGTGGTCTACAGAGAGGTCCTTCAGTAGAGAGAAAAAAGTAGATGTGTCTCACTTCATTTTTTACACTACAATCTTCTCCATTAGAATTCCTACAACAAATGTCACATTTCAGACTTCACATTTTCAGCATTATAACTGGATTTACAGAACTCAAATACCATAGCGAAGCACGGGTATCAGGCTAGTATTTTAATAAATCTAGACATGGGATTTATCACAACAGCAACTCTTTAGCTGCCTGGATGAACAGGAAAATACGCTCTGTGACTTTTTTAGTTGTTTAGACAGATTCACATAATGTAGACTAATTATTGTTATATGTTAACTACCCTTTTGTGTTTGAAATCATTGTGGTCACAAAGTGCTAAAACATTTGTCCAGTTTTGCAATACCCATTTAGGATTAGAATGATAATCCAGGTTGGTAGTACCACCAGATGGTTTTTACTATATTGCAGATTCATTAATCAAAGTAGCTGTTTTATTGCAAAGGAACTTCAGAAACAGACTAGAAAGGCAAATTGCTGAGTTGAAAGTTATTACAACACTCAGAACAATGGAATCCCCAGGATTTAACAGAGATATTGGTTTCTTATCTCCTAAATATGTTAACCTCATTCAGCCTTTACATCTGTATTCCCACCAACTGAAGGGCCATTTTATGTTATCTTTTATTTGGAATAATAGATTTTGGTGTAACTTAATGAATAGTAGAAATTGGAGTGTATTTCTCTGGTCTGGGGACAGGGGAGATAAATCTGCACATCCAGTCGCCCCACTTCAAAGAAGAAGATGCTGTAAACTCATCTCCATGTTGAGAGGAGATGGATGAACATAAGAACATAAGAGAAGCCAATGCTGGATCAGGACAATGGACCATTCAGTCCAATACTCTGTCACACAGTGCCCCAAAATACCAGGTGCCATCGGGAGGTCAACCAGTGGGGCCAGGACACTAGAAGCTCTCCCACTGTTGCCCCCCCAGCCCCAGGAATACAGATGGCAGGGTCTCAGTTACTCTCAGCATTCCACAATTAAGGATACATCAATCTCCAATTTTGACATTCTTGTTTCCTTCACTGTTTTTGCTCCAAAATTGAACCCAAACAAATGGTTACCATATAAACTAAGCTTATTATATACCTATATGTATGGACTAGTAATTTCCAGTTTTGTTTCTGTATCTGTCTTGACTCTAATTGTCTCTTCCTGGCAACTAAACCCCCACCCCACCCTCTCTCTTTCTATATCTAATGGTTGAGGAAATTCTGTTACACTGTATCTGAACAAGTGTGCTTGCACAAAAAAGCTTATACCTTGAATAAAACTTTGTTGGTCTTAAAGGTGCCACTAGTCTCAAACTGGGAAAAACTCCACTCTAAGAGAGCTGTTGCGAGAATGAATACATTATGGAACTAGATAGACTTACAATGCAGTCCTAAACAAAGTTATACCCTTCTAAGTAATTGAAATTAGTAGGTTTAGAAGGGTGTAACTCTCTTCAGGATTTCACTCCCAAGTATCTGATTATATATATAAGGCAGGTTCTTCTTAGATTCCTTTCAAAGTCATTTTTGTCAGTCATACTGAAGACCTTGCATATTTAAACAGGTAACCATCATCTGATTGTGTATGTTTGTGAAAAAGGGAGAACTTTATCTGTGATGTATAGTGTTAACAGCTGCCACATTTTTACATGGGTCTGCTATTGTATAGCCTCAGTTGGGGGTCTAACAATAAGTCCACTGGATTTTAAATCTATTCTGTGATGGCCATGCCTCAAAACATTTACCGGTACTTCTTTATTTCCTTAGGTTGATTTGAACACTGGGAATGTTAGGCATTCTATGAGAACTCATCTGAATAAATAACATATGTTTATCTATAATAGGGTCAGTTGTGCTGTATAATTCTTTGGGAAGTGCTAACTTTAGCACCAAAGGGAATGCTGAGCCCATCAAGCAACCACTTAAGAAACCAAAATTACCTCTAGGTCGTTTTGATGAGTCAGAGGAATCTGGTGCAGAAAAAGAGCCACTAGAAAGTAAGTAATCTTTTTCTGTGTAATAGTAATATATATATGAACATTTGAAAAATGGTGCCAAGTCATGAGAGATGCTGCAAATTCCTTGAGTCAAGCAATACTGGCAACTACTCAGTTTGTGAAAGATCTTTCATACACATTTGGGCCCTATTGCAATCGTTTTGTTAGAAGATTAAAACAGGATAATTTATTTTTCTGTATTGGAAGGGGATTTTAGGTTGTAGAGCTTTTAGATATTGCCCTTCTGGCAGGCATCGTTTGTATGTTAGAGGTGTTTCTTTTTTTTCTAATATTAACACTTCAAGAGATGGATTCAGAGAATGATGACCAAAAGGAAAATAGTTGTTAGCAATGTTCTCAAAGAGTATACACAGAGTATATACAAGAGTATACACAGTGCTGTATTAAGTAAATTGCATAGCACATCTTATGCGATCACATATATAAAAGGCTGTGTAAAAATATTGTGCAAGCCGAAGAATATCTTTAGATTAGTTTCAGTGTTGTATCATAAGGTGTAAAGAAGTCATTTGATGAGTGGAAGAGACTTTTGGATTCAGCCACCAATTTCTGTTTCTAAAAATAAGGTTGTTTTGAAAGCTGACACAGATCTCTCCCCCTTACATTCATTTCCATGCATCCTTGTTTTCTGGTCTGTTCTTTCACCCTGTTATGTTCATTTGCTGATGCAATCTGAGTTCCTGTTTGGTATCTCATAAAATATTTAGAGATTCTGGACCTTCAAGCATCAGCTCATTGTCCTTCTAAATGTGGGTTTTACTTGATTTGTAAATGTAAGGGCATGTTACCATATTCTGGGGCATTAAAATAGTACTTTACAAGACAATGTAGGGAGCGATCCTAAAAAAGTCTAATCTGAAGTAAATCCCATTTTTTCAGTGGGGCTTACTTCCAAAAAAATTTTTTAGGATTACAGACAAATTATCCTGGACTAAACTTGGTTAACAGAAGCCCTGAATTTATATGTGTGTGTGTATGTGTGTGTGTATGTATTTAACTTCAGGACTCTTGTTCTATTAAAGTATAGCAAAATATTTCTGTTACAGGTATTCCCCTCCCTTCCATGGGTAGGTGTGTCATGCGTATATAGTAATACTATTTTTATTTTATTGTGATTTATATCCCACCCCTCTCCTGCAATATGGGGTTTGGGGTGGCTCACAGCATTTTAAAAGACATACAGCAGTTAAAATGTTTACATTCTCTCAGTACCTAAAAATATTCCAAAGAGAAAACATCTGGCATTGAAAATAAAAGGATTAACTAAAGGCCTGATAGAACAATTCCATCTTACACACCCTGCAGAACCTTGGCAGGTCCCACAGGGCACGTGTCTCCTCTGATAAAGCATTCCACCAGGACATGGCTATGATGGAAAAAGCCCTCGCCCTGGTAGAAGCAAGATGGACTTCCTGAGTATCAGGCACGGTTAAAAAATTGTGTGATGATGAGCGCAAGCAAGTGGGAGATCATATCGGGAGAGGCAGTCCAGGTCATGCCAGTCCCAGACAGTTTAGGTCTTTAAAGGTTATAACCAGCATCTTTAACCTAATCCGAAAACAAACTGACGACCATTGCAGTTGCCTCAAGATTGGCTGCATATGGGTAGGCCAAGATCAGCCAGGCAACAACCTGGCAGCTGCATTCTTGTTCGCCTGAAGTTTCCAAAGTATCCCCAAGGGCAGCCCTGTGTAGAGTGCATAGCAGTAGTCTAGTCTGGAGGTGACCGTGGCATGGGTGACTGTGGCAAGATCTGGCCAGGTCAAATAGGGGGCCAGTTGGTGTAGAAAGAAAACTGCTGACCTCAGCACTGTGGACACTTCTTTGACTATGAGTCTTATGGCTCAGTAGGACTGCCTGATTATTTGCATTTTGATATACCCTAGAATTTCCTGATGACATCAATCCTGCAACAAAAGAAAAGGGTGGACCCAAAGGCCCTGAACCAACCCGTTATGGAGACTGGGAGCGAAAAGGACGCTGTATAGATTTTTAAATGGCTCCATACGGTAACATGATGTATTTGGATGAAGGTTAAGCAAATGAAGATATTTAAACTGGATGATGCATGATCTTTCTTTCTGTATCTGTGTGTGCAGTTATGTGCTTTTAGCATCTATGTAATGGCAGTTATGCAAGATACTTCCTGTGAATAAATATAGTTCTAAGTACTGCTTAGGAGTCATTGCTTGCCTTTTTTAATCATCCTTGTTGCAGAGTTGGTGACGTGAATCTCATGGCTGGTTGAATTTTACTACGGCAACAGTCCTCTGCACACTTAACTTGGGAGTCCTTTCCACTGAGATTCAACTCCCCACTAACTTCCTCAGCCCAGAGTTACTTCAAAGAAAATCTATATTTGTTAGATAAGTGGCAGAACTTTTGATTGCGCTCTTATGTGACCAGGTTTCTTTTTAGAGTGCATAACCTTTGCTATCCACATACTATGAAGGAAAAGGTTGCTTTCCCATACATCTAACACTAAAGCAACTTGAAATTACCACATTCTTTTTGTTTTAAATGAACATTGGTTTCCTATGACTGTGTAATTATAGTTCCAGAGAAATTACAGCCGGGCTAATCCCCACTACCATCCTTAAATGTTTATGTGTCCCCCCCCCCCCTTAGATATTTAAATTTTTAAAATATGTTGCGATTCTCTTCTACAGTATGTTTTGACAGTGTTTCCCCAACACTGAGTATATTGCTCATCTACTCCTCTAAATGAAATGGTAGTTTGGAATGAATGAGCACTGACTTGCATTTAGGTGAAAAGTTTTCTTGCAAACTCATCTTCTAGTAGTCAAATTCTGGTGAGAAATTCATACTTTGATGCCTGGTCTAATTATTTTAAAATGTATGAATACTTCATATAATGAGTAATTTTGCTTTTCCACATTGGAGGATTTGGAGGTGGAATGTTTGGGGAGAGTACACCAATTTTTGGAAAAATAAAACAATGTTTTTATAGATTTGTTATCTGGGGAAAAAGTAGAACTGAAGGGGGGGAAATTGCAATATTTGATGGAAACTTAAAAACATTAAACATGTGGAAAGGGGTTAATTCTAATGTCTGGAAAACTCAACATCTCCTACATTAATATTTACGGAAGTTGAAACTGATGTAAAGTTGATTTTTTGCATTTTATTTATTTATAACTCACATTTCTTGCCAAGACTCAAGGATCATTACAAAATATTTAAAAAAACAATGCAATAGAACTAGAATTACAGACCTAGAAAACAATGCAACCTGTCAAACAGTGCAGAAAGTGTCTTACAAAGGCAGAAAACAATGCACTAAAAATGGATAATCATACAATAAGCATTGCAATATCCTATTCTCTTAAAAAAAACCTCCCTCCTGACCCGTTCCATTATACTGTATTTCTAATCCCTTTATAAAAATTCCTCCCTGAACATTTCTGTTTTGCACATTCTGTGAAATGATAGAAGTATGGGAGTCTTCCTGACCTCCTCAGTTATTGTTTTGATATAGTGATATATATATATTGCTTTTATGGAGTCTGAACTAAAATAAATTATTTTTGAAAGTATCCATTGGTAAACAACATTTAAAGACATAATGGTTGACAGTTCATAATTACATCTCTTTACAGCATTTGGATATAGTTAGGACCTTTAACGTCCTTTTCAATTGTCAATTTATATCCTTAATTGGTTCTTAGTTTTACAATTCTTATGAACTATTATATCAGTCAGACGATTACTTAGGTTGATGGGCTGCAATGACTCTACCAACTATACAGGTTAGTGCTACTATACCAGAAAAACACATCATAGCTAGTTCTAACACCTTTGTATAAAGCTGTTATATGGTACAGAATTGAGAAATAGTGTGGATCGTATTTGCGGCAAATACACCTATAACAAGCGTTACACCTACAGATTTGTCATTTGCCACCAAAACAGCTACAGTGATTCAACACCAGACCACAGCCTGAAGTGTAGTTTTAAACTGTCAAAATAAGGTTTCAGTTGCCAAGATACAGAGTAAGATAGCCCTCCTGCACATGCTAAGAACATGATATGCTGGTGTATCCAGAGTGCATACAGTTCTGAACATTGTTGAAGCTACATACCTTTAGGAATTGAGTGTTAGATATTCTGATATATTAGCATACTGGCCATTTTAATACTGAAATTAGTATATTAGCATAGTGAGTTTTAATACTGAAATCAGACAAAGGCCTATATGTATTGGTTTACATTCTCCACCATTGTAAAACTTGCAGGTTTTAGGGCCGTGTTGAAGAGTGAGATTTCTTTGGCAGAGAGAGTTCTTGAAGGGTTGTTTGTGGGGTGGTGGTGGCTATTTTGTACTATGTGTTAATCTTTAAATACAAATTGGACAAGAACATCCTTGACGCACATGAACAAGAACATCCAAGGAAAGGCAGTGTTGGCCCAAAAGCAACATCTTGAAGGCAACAATACTGTCCCTGGAACACGAGTTTGTGGAGGGAAAGTAAATTGCCAGAATTTGCAGGAAGCAGCAGTGAGGAGGAGGAGATGTATGATTCTGCCACATTTGCTGTGCAGCGCCTTCTCTTAGGCTACTTTTCCTAATGGGTTAAGAAGTCAGGCTTCCCTGTCAATGAGTGGGCAAAGAGTTGCCCTGGCAGGCAAGGGAAAGATTAATCTGGCCAAACTGCCAGACTAAGACTAGACAAGGCGGCTGTGTAGTCAGGAGGCAGTGTTGCCACCATTTGCTCTGTTTCCATGTCTTTAACAACAGCTGGACTCACAGAAATAACGTACATAAACTTTTACTCCACAAAGGCTTTGCCAAGCTTTTCCCACTACTGTTCTGCAGATGAAGCTGCTGCACAGAAGCAGGGCCAATGAAATACTAGGAGCTCTTAAGAGGAGGATTTTATACAGAAAAGAAGGTTTACAGTAATATACTCTTTGTCCAGATACACACATCCACTCTATCTGCAAACACGCAAGATATATTTTATGGGGTGGATCCCATGTTCCATTTCTGCCATCATAACAACCGTTAAATTGACAAAATAGCACTTGCATTGTTGGGGGGGGGGAGCAGTTTATGCTGGCTTCCTTCTCATTGTAGACCTCCACTTTGCCCCACCCGCACTGTTCCCCAAAGTCCCATCAAACCTATGAGCAGAATTTCAGGCAGCTCGGTAGGCTTAGGGAGGCAGGAAAGTTCACCTACCTCCACTGGCAGTGTTGGATCCAGCCCTATGAACATTTCACTAGTTGCCACTGTTTTTGAAATCCACTCTACTGCTCCCACACACCATTCTTTCCATTCATAACCATTAATATTTTCTACACAAAATCTCCTTCCAGTTGGGAAACCTACCGTGAAACGAGTGTTGGCTGCTTGCTTCTGTTCAACAGCAGCCATGAAAGCCAGTGTGGTGTAGTAGTTAGAGTTTCAGCCTAGGATCTGGGACACCCAGGTTTGATTCCCCACTCTGTCATGGAAGATCACTGGATATTTTGGGGGCAGTCATACTCACTCAGCCTTACCTAACTCACAGGGGTTTTGTGAGAGTAAAATAAAGGAGATGAGAATTATGTAAGCTGCTTTGGGTCCCCACTGTTGAGAATAATTAATTGAAGAATAATGAATTTGGTTCCCCACTTTTCTCCCTTTCTCACAATACAAGAACTCGTGGGCACTCAATGAAATAAATGAGCAGTAGGTTTAGAACAGATAAAAGGAAGTACTTCTTCATCCAAATAGTAATTAACATGTGGAATTCCCTGCCACAGGAAGTGGTGGCAGATACAAGCTTAGATAGCTTCAAGAGGGGATTAGATCAACATATGGAGCAGAGGTCCATGAGTGGCTATTAGCTGTAAAGTATAGATTCCTTGGACATCAAATGTGACAAACAAGCAGGTATTCGAGCATGTTAAACCAGACATGCCATTGGAAGGAAAAATCACAATACTGTGACTGACTTATTCCGGCCTGCGAAAGAACTCACTAGAAAAGGCAATGATGCTTGAATTGGTTAGCAGCAAAAGGAAACCTGGCCACCAAAGAACACAGTGGCTAGACGCCATAAAAGTTGACATCAGCCTGAACATGGAACAACTCAAAGAAACAGTACAAGATCGGAAAAACATGGAGAGAGCTGGCCCATAGAATCTCCAAGAGTCAAACGTGACTGAATGGCTAACAACAACAACATAGATAGAACACTATATCTGGGGCACTGATCTTTGTGTTTGGGTGGCAACAGTGGGAGGCTTCTGGAGTTCTGGTACCACTGACGGACCTCCTGATGGCACCTGGTGTAACACAGAGTGTTGGACTGAATGGGCCATTGGCCTGATCTTAGAAAGGCTGGCTATAAATTAAGTAAATAATAAATACAGCTGAAGATGGGGGACTAGATAAAACGTGGGTTGATCAGTTTGAAGGAAGCAGAGAGGGGAGCAGGAAAAGGCGAGGATATAGGGCTGCCAGGAGGGGGGAAAGAGGAAATAGTATGAGGAAGGATACAGGGGGAAATGAGGTATGCCTGCAGGTGCTTGCAGATCCCCCAGTGTGCAGTTGGGCCCAACACCATGCAATTTGGCCAGAAATTTCCCAAAGAAAGGCTCTTGGGGAGGGAAGGATGGAAAGCTGAAGACTGGGGGGGAGAGGCATGCGAAGGAGATAAGGAAGCTGGAAAAGGGGGAAAGCTATGGGGTCTGCCAGGGAAGTGAAAGAGGAAATAGTGGGGGGGGGGGAATGAGATGCCCCCTGCAAGTCCTTGTGTGTCCCCCACTTGTATTTATCTACAAGCCAGTTTGTAATATTGAATCTTGTTCTCTCAGTATTACGTCAACCTCTGGCTGACCAAAATAAAGATTCCAGGCCAGCTGTATGCAAATACAGGTTGGCTTTATACTTAAAGACTTAATTACATGTTACAAAGTCCTCATAGCCTCCATGTGTGTGTCCTAGCCCTGTCAAAAGAGGAGCTCTGAGAGTTTCATTCTCAGAACTTAATTTCTGGGTGCATGCAGGGGTAATTTGAAGTGGGACTGGTATACAGAAAGAGGGGATTTAAACCTCTCCCTCCACCAACATCATTTCCCAGAACTGACAAGGCCCTGAGGAGTAATTGTTTTCTCTTAAAAGCAGTTCTCCAAGGCCATTTCAGGCATACACATATAG